GCTCACACGGCACATCCTGGCCTTGAATTCCGTGCTAGGCCAATGGCGTTCCTCCCGAGCACTGCCCAAGGCAGCGGGCCGTGGTGGGATCCGGGCCGTGGGTGTGGGGCAAGAGCCTTCTGCCCCGAGTCTCCCCGAAGACAGTGCTGAGGACGTGATTCTATCTCGTCTGTCGATCCCGTTTCAGTTCAGCAGCCATTTTCCACACGCAGACACAGCTCGAGAGCAGGATCTCTTCCGGGAACTGACACTCCACTTCAGGAAGGGTTTCGCTCTCTTTAGTGTCCATGTAACTTACTAGAGTTTCTCTCAGGCTGAAAAACCAAGAAGAGAGAGCATTTAAAAGTCTCCCAGATAACATCAGGGGACCAATCGGTTGTTCCTTTTTCCCGTCCTCAGGAGAATGACTGTGTTTGTTAAGACAGAAATACTGAGGGTCAGCTTGCAGCCAAGTACGGAGCTACCGCGCCGGGACTCCCGGCACGTGTCTGCTGCTCCCCGCGGGCGGCTACGATACCACAGCAGCCTGTGGAGCTCGCCTCGAGCGCGGCCCTTCAGATGACGTTGGGCACTTCAGTAATGGGATTTTTATTTACAGGGCTGTATAAAAAACAAAGCCTCACCATTAAAAAAAAGCTTGTATTCCATTTCATGTTTTATATTAATAAAGATCGTAAATTCTCTAGGAAAGGTATCATTTTTTTCTACAAAGTGCAGGATAGTAAAGACTCATTGAATAAGTTCAAATAATGTAAACGTATATAGGTATATGCCAGATAGCATCACAGAAGAAAATAGAAAATATGAAATGTATCGGTGAGGAAAACTAGAGTTTAATTATCTATTTTTAAAAACCAGTAAAGTTAAATCCTTAGTTCACACTACACATAAAAATGAATTGCTTAACAAAATACGTGTGTGATACAGAACTATAAAAGCACAAGAAGAAAACAAGAAGATGTTTTATAACCTCGGGATAAGGAAACCCTTATGGGTGTATTTTCCTACGGAGATGTTATGGGAGAATTCTATCAAATTTGACTTCATGAAATTAAAGCCTGAGACAGCGTTTGTAACACATAACATAAAAGACTAATATCTGTTCTATACAAAGAGCTCTTACAAATCATTAAGAAAGACATAAGGAGCCCGGAAGAAAAATAACCAAATGATACCAAGAGGTAATTCAGAAGAGGATATACAGGTGGCTGATAAATATAAAACATGCTTAGCCTCACCAGTAAGTCAGGACGTACAAGTGAAAGTGAGATACCATTTTGTGGCCATGAGATTGGTAGATATGTAAAAGCTGGAAACATCTTGTGTTGGGTGTTCTCACTCTTTTAGACATTGGTGTAGCTTTTTCTTTCAAATTTAAAATGCATCTTTCTTTGACACAGTTAAGTCTACTTGTTAAAATGAGAATATAAGACTGCCGTAATTATTTCCTAAAAAACCCAGTGGAGATTACAACCAAAAAGCAAGTCCTCAGGCGCCCCGGTCACGGGAAAACAGCAGGAAGTGGGACCCTGTGGCAGGAAAAGAGCGATTTCTGCGTCTATGCAAGGTCGCGGACACGCAGCGGAGCGCTCGGCGCCTCCCCGCCCACAGGCGGGCAGACCCGTGCAGACTCGTACCTCCACTCAGGCTTGAAGCTGCCCTCGGCCTGGGGGTTCTTCAGTTTCAAGACCATCATTTCGTGGAGTTCCAGCAGGAAGGTATCCAGGCCAGTCTGATTCAGGAAAGTGCTGAGCAGCTTAGCATTTTCTGGGCTGAGGTCCTCTTTGTACCTTGAGCTGATTTCCCTAAATGGCTCCTGAAATGAAGGAAGGACAAGTGAGACACGGAAGCCTGCAAAGAGAGGAGCACAGCTCCCTCCGTCCCGGGAAGAGAAAGAGGCCCACTCACTTTGTTCAGTCGCAGCAGCTGTTCGGACTTGTAGGCAGAGAGGAGCTGCCAGAGGGCGATGGTGTGTTTTAGCTGACACCTGTTCAAGGCCTGGAAGAGAAACGGCGTTTCTGAGCAGGAAAGGCCGACACCCCGACTCCTGCCACGCGTCAGCGAACCCGAGCGCCATCCATGTAGGCATTTTTCTCTTCATTTCTGCTCTGTGCTCATTTGATTTCCCACGTGATGAAGGCCATCTCTGTTCCACCCACTAATGCACCTGCCTCATCGCGAAAGGCCTCTCGGTCCTGCCTGTGGTGCGCTCTGTCTAGACTGCCAGCATGGCGAGTGCGTGCGTGTCTCTGCTGTTCACAGTGTTTTCTGTTTGCATTGTGGACTGACTGGGTGAGGGGTTGCTTTTGCCTCCCCTGCCTCCCCCTCCTTGTCGGGGGTGCCTAGACTGATGCTTCCTGAACAGTGGTCTTCCTGGCAGGAAGCAGGGAGACCAAGGTGAGGGGCGGCACTGATTTCCTTGGAAGAGAGGCTTCCTGTGAGACCCACCTTTAGCACAAGAGCTGTCTGGTCACCCATTCGCAAGACGTCTTGGACATACGTGTTCAAGCGCATGTTTGGATCCCCGCCAGCCGTGCTCAGAAACCCCAAAGTGACTTCTATGATGGACAGAGCCTCACAGGTGTCGCTGTAGGACTGCAGTTGTCCACTGATGGCGCTGATGGCCGAGTTGGGGAGGGAGTTCTGGGAAGTCAAAAGCAGGAGAGAGGGTCTATAGGCTGGGCTTCTTGCTCCTCACTACCTGGTGGAAGAGCTTAGCTTCTTCACTTCCCAAGCCCAAGGTGGGACAAACTCTGTAATAGTCACAGTTGACACCTGGTGCTCACTGAGCGCCAGGCAGTGTTCCAGACAGTTATAGAAATGGACACGAGCTCAGTGAATGCTTGGAACAGCCCTGTGGGATGATGGAGACATACAGAAGTGTACCTCTCAACGTCACAGCGAGAGGGCACGAATAACTAAGTTCTGTGGACCATTTGCTTCAGCATACGTGGTCATGACATCACTAAGCACCAACCCCACGAGCTGTCAATCTGTTGATACTCCACAGGAAAACTCCCTGATTTGCCGTCTTGCTTCCCTCTGCAAAGAGCACTGGGCTCTCAGGGAGGCCGCGGAAACTCTGCTGCTCCCAGAAAACACGGGGGGCGGGAGGCTAGAGCAGTCCTAATATGATGAAAGCACTCTGCTAAGGCGAAAAGCACTGTGCAAAGGGCAAAGTTTAGTGTGACCACCTGTGCCATTTTGTTCTTGATGTCCACAAAGAGATGTTCGTAGTTCCAGTCATGTCTGTATACCAGAGTGGGTATTCCCTAAATTGAGAAAGAAAAGAAAGAGTTTTTGGAAATTAAATCCATTGTGGAGGTTTCCATCAGATGACAGATGTATTCTTCAGCAGTAACTCAGCTGTAGTGCCATGCTGTTCAGGGCGTTACTGGGCAGAGCAGACCACTCTGTTGTTCATGATGTCCGTGTTTAATCCACAGTGTAAGAAACAACAGCACCACAAGGAATCTAGCTAGGACATGATGGCCAAGCAGATTTTTTTTTTTTTTTTTAAACAGTCTTGCTCTGTTGCCCGATAGAGTGCTGTGGCATCAGCCTAGCTTACAACAACCTCAAACTCCTGGGCTTAAGCCATCCTCCTGCCTCAGCCTCCTGAGTAGCTGGGACTACAGGCGTGCACCACTACGCCAGGCTAATTTTTTTATGTTTTTAGTTGTCTGGCTGAATTTCTTTTGATTTTTTAGTAGAGATGGGGTCTTGCTTTTGCTCAGGCTGGTCTGGAACTCCTGAGCTCAAGCAATCCTCTCGCCTCGGCCTCCCAGAGTGCTGGGATTACAGGCGTGAGCCACCGCGCCCGGCCTCCAAGCAGATATTGTCGTGTAAAATAACGTAGCCTTGTTCACCACAAGCAGCTCTGGGGGACATGGGAATGTGAAGGTTTCTCATTCATGGATTCCTTCAGTAACTACTGGGCACACACCATGGACAAGGCAGTCACTCTGCCAGACAACAGATGTCGGAATGAGTTAAAAACAGGCGTGGCTCCAAGCAGGTCCCAGCCTAATTGCGGGCACTAAGCGGAATAAATATACTTAAGTACAATGTATTTGACTGGAGCTGGAAGGAACAAGTGCTGTCCAGGTGAAGGAACAGAGATGGGAAAGCGCCCACTGTGTTAACCCAGCACATAGGGTCATGGGACACAGTGCAGGGAAGGGAGGAGAGTGGCTGGAGCGGGCTGGGAGGCTGGGATGGGGCCCAGCTCCAGGGCCTTGCATGCTGGAGCCTCGTCCTGTTTGCAGTGGGAGGCCAGGCCGTCCACCAGCGAGTGAGGGCTACAGATCTGGGCTCTAGGAACGTGCATTGGAGAGGCTGGAGCTGGGTCCAGTTGGGAGCTGTGGTGGCAGTCTGACGTGAGGATGGGTGCTGTGGATGCGAGTGGGCAGTGGTAGATAGACAATGAGGACACACAGAGGGCACACCTGATGGCACCCATGGCCGATACATGTGGAGGCTGAAGGAAGAGGGGAAACGATGGTGGTTGGTGGTGCCGCTAACTACAGTGGAAAAACCTAGATGGTGAGTCCATTTGACTCACCCATGGACAGACCCATGGAGGACGGAGGCAGATGCCGCAGCAGAGAGCTCAAGAGAGCCGCCCAGCCCAGAGACGCAGGGGCGGTCACAGAGCTACGGGTGCAGGTGGCGACGCGGACCAGACTGCCGGGCGATGCGCTCGCTCTGCTCTCACCGGAAATGCTCTGCAGGCTCCTTGCCCACAACAGGCACCAACGCAATAACGGCAGCGGGCATCAGCCTTACCTTGAGCGTCAGCCTGGGCTTGCCCTGGAGGCAGCGGCTGGTGACCTGGCGCTGGATCTTCTCCAGGTCGAACTCCCGCGAGGTCTCGCCGCCTTGCTCCACCTGATACTGGCAGTTGGAGAGAATCAGCGGGGTCAGGTCCCGCTCCACCTCGTAATTGATGACGTGCAGGTCGGTGACCTCAGAGGCGTCCACAGAATAGCTGAGGGACACAAAGAGGCAGCACTCAGTGTCCAGGCCGGGCGTGCGGGGTCGAGACTCCAGGGCCCGTGGAGCAGTTCTTGTTTGACGTCCTCACACTCTGAGCACACAAACCACACACGAGGATGGGACACCGGTGGGGGCGGCTGAAGAAGTGTGTGTTGGGGAAGGAGCTAAAGCCTGGCCCGCATCTGCCCCCGTGGGCTTAGGAGCCCTGGGCTGAGCAGGTTCCGCTTCCTGCCGGCTCACGCACACACCTGTTGCTTTCGCTGGAGAACTTTTCCACCGTGTAGACAACTTGATTGTGTAGGTTAATCAAGTAGCTAACCAGGGCGGTAGAACAGAGGCCTAGGCCCCGTCGACGCGGCAGGATGACCTCAAACTCGGCGTCCAGATCCAAGTCGGCACTGCAGTAGTCTTTAGGCAGCTTGATTTCACCTGTGAATGACAGGGTTGCTCTTAAGCAGAGGGGTCAGCGCCAGGCTGCTTCTTAGTCATCTCAGTCATCCGAGAGCTGGGAGCCGGGTCTCCAGCTTCTGCCTCTGAGTCTCTCAGATGCTGACAAGTTTCAAATGCTCTCAGCTCCTCCATGACTCCATGCTCACGGACTCAAAAGGACCGAAGGTTTGCTTTTCCTGATATGCTAGTTCACTTATCTGGGCTCTACCATCAAGATTCACAGACTCAGCATTGACGTGGTGCTGGAAAAGCGCCCAGAACGGGCCCTCCTGCAACGTCTAGAGGGAAAGGAGAACAGGACACTCACCGTTGGTCTCAAGCGACCTCCTCAGCTTGTTCCACGTCGACAGAAAGATGGTGATTCTGTTCTGAAATAACTGTCTCAACCCATCTGCTGGACAAAACACGTGGTCAGAGCCCCACGCTAGCAACCACCCTGCCAGGCCAAAGCAGCACAGTGACACGCCGTGGATGGAGCCCAGCTCTGAGTCTCTGTGCGGTCACCAGCGTGTCCGCATCACTGTTTGAAGCACTAAGCTGAGCCTGGGAGCTGGAGAGAGGGAGGTGCTTTTCAGCTGCAGCAAAAGCCTCTGATTGGTTTTGGGGGATCTAGCGCCCTTCCCTTCATGCTAAAAGCTTAGGGTGTAGAGCACCCGTCAACCCTGAATGCCTGTGTCCCCACTGGAGTGGTCCTTTTGAAGCACCAAACAGGAGAGTCCTAATCTCACTGGAGCAGAGTCATACCTGAATTGTGGCTGCTAATGAAACTTCTGATTGAGTTGTATTCAACTTGTGGAACATTCTGGAATCGCTTCACTAGACTCCTTTGCAGGGCCAAAATCTCAGGCAAGAACTTCACCAGTCCCAGTTCTGCTTCCTGTAGCAGGGAAGAGCACCCAGTAACACTTGTTTATTCACCTAAAAAATGTTACTGCGGATACAGCCTTTGTGGCCGGCCGGGGCACTTGTGGTCTGACCTGGGCAGCATGCCATTTCATACGACACACCGTGGAGCTTGGAAGTGGGACAAGAGCCATCCCATTCTTTCAGCAAGTACCTGTGGGCAGTGGAGCACGCCACAGATGGAGGGTGAAGACAGCCCCACCCTCACGGAACCAGCACATCCACTGCGGGCGCCAAAGCTGAGGAAAGAAACCTGCCTCTGGGGCCCACGTGACGAGCTGGGTACAGGGAGAAGCTGCTGGAAGCAGAGAGCAAGAGCACAGGCAGTGGAGGCTGGCGCTGTTCCTGGGCGTCGCTCTGGAGACCCAGGGTCTAAGCATCCTCAAAGTAATGAAACTGTGCACCTTATGAATCCTTCCTAGTGTGAATTAATTTTAACCAACAAAAAGTTCTGAATCACCTTACTTCTTGCTAGACTGTAAATACTAGTCCACGGAGGGCAGTGATTAGAAAATCTGTTGTAGAAAATGAAAGTTCAAATGGATGAAAGTTGGAGACTCTGTATTTCTAGTTCTAACGGATGTGACCAATACATTTTTCTGCTCCCCCACCTCCAGCCCTACCACGGCCAACACACACACTCACGCCCACCTTCAATCCATGCAAAATGGTTTAGGAACAGGGAAGATTTTTTTATTTGATTTTGGCTATATATGTGTTCTTTTTTCTTTTTTTCTGAGACAGGGTCTCTTGTCTCCCTGGCTGGAGTGCAGTGGCATCGTCCTAGCTCACAGCAACCTCAAATTCCTGGGCTCAGGCCATCCTCCTGCCTCAGCGTCCCGAGTAGCTGGGACTATAGGCACGACACCACGCCCAGCTAATTTTTCTGTTTTTAGTAAAGATGGGGTCTTGCTCTTGCTCAGGCTGGTCTTGAACTCCTGGCCTCAAGCGATCCTCCCACCCCAGCCTACCACAGTGTTAGGATTACAGGCATGAGCCGCTGCGCCCAGCCTGATTTTGGCTATACATTCTTGACAGAAGTTTTCTTATTCAACAGACACTCGTTGATGACCAACTACTCCCGGCACTGGGGGACTGAGACGCACAGACCCAGCTGGCAAGGATGCGTGTTCTTTTCTCTCTCGCTGAATGATCCGGGAGGTCCTCTCCTGGCCTTCAAGCTCTTTACAGATTACTACTAATCCCAACTCGTGTTTGTGTTTCAGCTCTGACTTTATGCTTCAGGCTGTTGTGCAGTTTGACGCGTATAAAGATCTCCACTCTATCCCAGAGTCTTCTACACAGACATTCTATTCAAAATCAAAGCACTGAAGTAGGCTGTTAAGACGTTCTGTCTTTAGGAATGACTACACTCAACAAGAGCCCTGGGCCTTCAGGCCTACTGGGGATGTCTGCCCAGAAAGAGGGAGGCGGTCCCAGTGAGTCAGACGTACCTTCTGCAGGAAATGCCAGAGGATGGGCACTGTTTCTTTGCCATTTTTCTGCTCCACAATGTGCTGGAGGTACTCAACTGTGATCCTTTTTCTGCAGCTCCAAATCTTTGAGCAATGGACCTCACTTTTCCGGGGCAGGTGGGGCAAGAAGGTCACTGGGTCACCGTATATGATTTTGGCCACAGGGTTGGAGCTGATACGCTCATCTTGGCTGATTAGGGTGTTCACGGTCAGAAGGGTTTTATCTAGATGCTAAAGAAGAAAGCGATACAGAATTCTGGAAGCCAGGCATTGTCGCAAACAGATTAGGCACCTAGTGACTTCACGAGTGGGTGTCTGCGTCTTAGTCTGCCCTCATCTGAGCATGTAATCAGATATTCACTTTTATCATGTATTATTATTTAAGGGTTCCCTGTTTGTAGATCTATATCTCCCCAAACATAATGAGACTCAGGGACCTGTATTTCGTTCCCATTCTTTCATTTACCGACTTTTTTCCCTGATGGGCTGTTACTCTCAGTAATATTCTTATCTAGCAGAGAGTAATCACTCTGTGATTGTCAGCACACCTTGGGTGGGTACCTATATGACAGTTCATTTCTTCACCTCTGGCTCCACATTCCGCTATGAAAAGCAGTGGGGAGAAAGCTACTGCCTGCCCCCTCTGGACTCACAGGCAGTGCAGGAGGAAGGGGTATCTCGGGACAACAGGAGGGTGGTGGCACCAGGTGGACAGCATCAAAGTCCAAGGCTCAGCCAGAGGTGTCTGAGGACACCCCCGCAAGGGACACCAGCAGAGAGCCCTCAGCAGACACCTGGGAACCCCCTTTCCCAGACGAAGTAGCTCTGTGGCTGTTACCACTTAGCACCCACCTGCAGTTCAGGTAACATAACGGCTTCAACTTGTTTCTCCCAGTTGTTTCTCATTTCTTTGGTTGACAACTTTGCATCAAAATTTAAAAGCCCTATAAAAAAACCCAAAATGTACATGTTACTCAAGGAATAAAAAACATGGCAGTGTACATATAGCGAACACTAAATAAATGTTAAACAGAAATAATGCTCCTTTCAGGGTAATATCTTCCTAAATTAACTTAAGTATTTTAAAATAGCTTCCGCTGCTACTACCCACCTTTTTGAAGATACTTCAATCTCTTAAAATTCCTCTAAGCCACATAATTGTGATCCTAAAGCCATTCTGAGCAAAATTACTGAAAGGACAGAACTCAGACTGCAAAGTCCAGGGGCACAGTAGTGGGGCCAGGCCACCGTCAGCCACCCACCCGAGCCTGCATGGAGGAGGCAGAGTGCTGTGGGAACTGTCCCCACGCTTCTGGGGTCTGCTGTTTTGTCCTGTGATAACAGGTGACCGTACCTAGCTGAAATCACACCAGAATAGGAGGCTTAAAATAAAATCAGATTTTGCTAAATGGAAAATAAATACTGACGCTGGCGTCTGGCAAAGAAGTGCCTGAAGGGAGAATAGATTTTTTTGTCACGGGGCAGGACTTTTTATTGCTATTATTATTATTATTTTAAATAACATTATCCTCACAACGGTAATAGTGATTTTTGCCAACAAGCAAAAAGAAAATAAAAATCACTCTTAATTCCACTACTCGGAGATAACGCTTTTACTATGTTATCTTACCTTTTCTTTCTGTATGAATTTAAAATTTTAAAATAGAAAATTAGCTCAGTGAATATAATATTTTGTGCCTACTGTTTTTTGTGTAACAAGCTGGACATGTCAACATACCAGGGCAGCATACGACTAGGATGTTGTCAGGAAAGCAGAGGCCGTGACGGTGACTGTCTCTTTGACACGCGTCACCTGTTGTAGACGCCGTGCACCCCCACTGTGGCAGGCGAGCTACCCACAGGCTGACTGGAACTGCAACACCTCCCCACACACCCAACACTCGTGTGCAGACGGCCCGAGTCTGCGGCTCTGAGCCGGGCAGGGGTGACTGGAAGAACAGAGCGGCTCCGGCCATCCTCCAGGCAGGCAAAGCGCTTCCTGTCCCCGCTCCTGCCTCGCCTCCCACGCACCGTCGTTTCTGCCACTCTGGAGCCACGGGGAGTGAGCCTGGTTTCTCTGCAGTTTTCTACATGACCCCCTGCCTGGCCCCGCCCTGGCCCCTCTCCTTACTCTGGCCGGAGGGGCGGTGCTGCGCCTGGGCGAGGCTGCACAGGACGTGGTGGACGGCGTTGGCGGTCTCGTCCGCGCTCCTCCCCAGCATCCTGGTTAGCTGCTGCAGGTCTGCCTGGACGTGCTGCTGCAGGAATCCTCTCGGGTCCTGCACGGGAGGCTTAATGATGTGTATCAGAGCCTGCGGGGCGATGGGAGGAAACAGTCAGCAGGACCTTGTAGATGAGAAAGCGGGCCTGGCAGAAGCCATCGGAAGCAAAAACCAGCACGATGAGAAGGTGGCTTCTAAGAAGTCGTCCGTGGAGTGGTCCAGGCATGATTCGAACGGCAGAGTGGAACTAACGACCGCTGGCTTTTATGTTATCAGAGTAAAATAAACAATGTGCAAACCTGTACTTTTTCCCATCCTGGTTAATACTGACTTAGAGGAAATATCGTGTGCTCTTTCTGGTAAAATCCTGATTACGTTAGCCTCTCCACTCCCAGTCGTGGACCGAAGACACAGCGTTGTTCATTTAAAGTGAGTTTTCTATAACGTGATGAGTAGTTCTCCCATACTGTCAAATGCCACAGTGGGAAAAATTAGGGAGTGTAAATTTTATATTTCTCTGTAGATTGTTTTCAATGATGTATTCACAATCCACAGGTGGTGGCTAGGACGTTTTAGACAAAAGGGCTCTCTGTAAAGAAACTACAGCAGGTTCTTCCTCTAGCAAGTAAACCCATAGCTCTGCAGCGCCGCGCCGTACCTGCGGGTTTTGGACGGCCCCCAGCAGCATGGCCAAGTGCGTGAGCAGCCGGGTGAGAAGGAAGACCGCCGGGGACAGCTCTCGGTCAGGCACCACCGCCACGCCTCTGTGCCACGGGTCACCCAGCACGTGGCCAGTCTGGGTTCTGTCTGTGCTGTCTCTGGAAGGAAAGAGAGAGGACAAGGTGAGGACGGAGAAGGGTCATTTCTTCTCAGCTCTCGGGGCACACTGCAGAGTCTCAGGACGTGAGGACCAGGTTCACAGTTTTGAAGAAAACAACGTTAAAAGTACTCCTCATTCTGCTAAGCCCAGACTACTTTCCTAAGAGTCTTTTCCGTTACAGATTGAGCTTCCTGGCTGGCCAGACCCCACGGCATTCTCAGCGTGCCGTGGCTGCCCTGCGGCTGTTGGTGCTGGTCCCCGGGCAGGGGGTTAGCACAGAAGCCCGGACCTGCCTCTCCCACTGACATCTCTGAGGGTGGGAACAGCCGGAGTCCGGCGTGGCGGGCAGCAGCGTGGCACGGTCTACACCTTCTTATGTTTCCCAAATAAAACACCGGGATCCAAGGTCTGGACCAGGGTTTTGTATCACATCCGGACAGGAGATGCAGTACGACAGATACATTCAGTTGCAAAAATATTAGAGATTTGAGGACATTCTGATAGTTTCTGGAGATAGCAGGTAAGAATATTTTAGGCTGGGACTGCACCAAAACAGTCAGAACGTGTGACGACCACAGACAGGTCCCACCAACTCTCTGAAGGGAGCATTTATAACCACACTCGTCTCAGTGTGGGGCTGTGCGATCAGATTTTCATCTGGATTCTAAAATCTGGTATTCAGTAAGATTGACTATGTCTCCTTCATTTTGCTCAGAAAAAGCAAAAACAAAAACGGAGAAAGCTAGTACAGTCTACAAGTGAGATGGCATCTGCTGAGACAGAAAAATGCCTCGTCCCGATGGCCGGGTGAAGACCAGGTGAAGTCCTGCAGACTTAGATGTCCCCCTGAATTAGGTCACCTGTTTACGTCAAGCATATTTCTACAGGGTGCACCTGAGGCCAAACGGGAGCCATCGGTATTAGGAGGTGTTACTGGGTAGTCTGCTTTGTGTTAAGAGCCCAGTGAGCCAAGGACAGATCAAATCCCTCACTGCTGTCTGACGGCCGGGACGCTGGCACTGAGATCCAGTAGGACACGGGCCCAGATGTACCATAGTAATTGATACTGTATCTAGTATCACTTTAGCAGCGGAATAAAACAGCCCCCAAACCCACGGTTGACTCCTGAGAAAGGAAACACAGTCTTACATACGTGATAACAGAAAAGCCATCGTGAGGTTTGTGGTTGGAACCTCCAACTGGAGCGCGACAGTCTACACAGAAGCTCTGTTCCATCGGCATGCCGCACTAGGGTGAAGACAAACGTCACTCAGAACCGGTCTGGAGCCAGTATCATCTTATGCACAAATGCCACCGTGCAAATGAACAGGTCCTCACCACAGGAGGAGGTGAGCGCCACTCGGCTGCGTGTCCTAGCGTGTGCTCGCAGCGCGGGAGAAGCCCGCGGCACGGGACACACTCAAAGGAATTATATCGTACGGGGACAAATTTGGACTTTTAAAAAAAAAAAATAGGTGAGATCATTCAAGTTTTATTCCCAAATGGAGTGGCACTTCATAGACAAACGTAAAATTCAATCTTCCTTTCTCGTATTTATCACTTATTTCCATTCTTACATCTATCCCACTGGTCCTTAGTGCTTCATAATCCAATACCAGGAATACTATAACAGCTTGCAAAATGATTTCCTTACATCCATTTGGACTTTTTTATTTAAAAACAAAATCCGTCCATATTGATTCACTACTTCCGAAGGCTCATTTTTAAAAACCAGATAGTGTGCTACTCTGTCCTGAGAATCACAGCACGTAACAGACCAAACCAGTCCCAGATTTCAGAGCTGAGAGCAGTCTTGGGAAGAGTCTATTTCGATCTCCTCCTTTCATGGACGAGGCAGTCAGTGAAGCTCAGAAAGATAAAGTGTATTTATCAGTTTGTCCCCCTCCATGTCTCGTATTTACTTTATTACACGGCACGTGTCAGCTCGATCGACGGCCTATCGCTCAGCAAGTGCGGACACATTGTGTGAAGGGCCCGGGCTAGGTGCTGGAATTCAGAGATGAACACCGTACAGTTCTTTCCCTGTGGCCTGCAATCCCCAACTCTCTTCTTATCCCTTGGTATCCAGACCGTACCTCCTCTCTGGGCTAGGAATCCAGCCAGCACTTTGCCACTCTGTAGGGACAAGTGTCCCTGGTCCACGTGGCAGTGGCTAAACAAGGATGGCTAGCAGCAGTTTCCATCAGTAGCAGCTGTGTTTCCCAGGGGATGGGCAATACCCGGAGACGTTTTGGGCTATCACCCTGGGGGAGAGGGGAGGAAGTGCTCCTGGCATCCAGTGAGCTGAGGTCAGGGATGCTGCCAGACACCCTACAACGCACAGGACAGGCCCACAGCAAAGAAGCACGTCCACAGTGCTGAGGTTGGAAGCCCTGGTTGATCAGCACTCAGACGCTCAGCGGGAACACCTCGGAAAGTGAGCCTGTGCTCTCCTAGACGGCCAAGACCCACGTTCTCCTCCTTCTCTGTGGCCGCTCTCCTGAGACCCACAGCAATGCACGTGTTGACACCCCCCAACCCCTACGTTAAACACCAAGACTCACCTCTCCCACAGAGCAGGGATGGCCGTTGGGGCAGGCTGTTAAAAGAACAACAGGACACACGTTAGCTAATGAGGTTCCAGCACGTGACCTATACTGTGGAGGGAAAGCTAACTTCCTACTCTCTTGCCCTGACCAAAACGTGACGTTTAGAGGCCTTCTGGAAATGTTGAGCTTACCAGAAATCTCGAGCTACTTTGTTAGTTTAGTTATTTGACACATGCCTGGAGCTCAGTAAATGTTGTTAGTGAAAAGTGTCCAAGTTTAGTTTTACAAAGCAAAGAGAAATCAGATTACAGGCTTCTACTGGGGGTTACTTTGGGAGGCAAGGCAGACAGTATTTTATACCCTTCTATTCCCTTTTATTTTCTTTTTGGTGCCATGAGCATATTTTATAACAACTTTAAAAACTAGTTTAAAAAGATTATTTATTCAAGGCAACAGCAAAATTTATGTAAAGTCGTGGGTTATATTATTTTGCCTCCCATTTCTATACTTCAAAACAGCTATTTTGGGTGGGAAACTTTACTGTGCCGTGACTGGCCTTTGAGGGACCCCTGACATGGTTACCAGTCCCCCTTTTCCTCAAACGGCACATTCTGGGGAGCAGACGTACACCCCAAAGCGACCTTTCCATGCGACCGAAAAATGAAGGGATGTGGATCATGCGGCCAGCAGGGTGCCACTGGCACTCTGCAACGGTCCACAGGCAGGAAGAGGCAGCTAGTTCTGGGCCTCTAGGCATAAGCCACGAGGGTCCCGAGTCTACCCAACGCCTCACGTGGCAGTCGGATGTGCCGCAAAGCGGAGAGGGGTGCGATTCCACCCCGGACACCAACACTTACTGTACCAACGGACTCTTTCCAGACCCTTCCAGTACCTAGCTTGAGCCAGCAAGTCTTCAGGCATTGTTGGAAGAAAGGCGTTCTGAAAGACCAAAAAGGCAGAGCTGGCTCTAGGTAAGTGAGCACACTGATGGGCTGCTATTGTTCAGCAAGAGGCCTAGGGTAAGAAAGTGAACTTTCTGTTTTCTTTCTTTCTTTTTTGTGAGACAGAGTCTTGCTCTGTTGCCCGGGCTAGAGTGCCATGGCGTCAGCCTCGCTCGCAACCTCAAACTCCTGGGCTCAAGCAATCCTTCTGCCTCAGCCTCCCGAGTAGCTGGGACTACAGGCATGCGCCACCATGCCCGGCTAATTTTTTTCTATATATTTTTAGTTGCCCAATTAATTTCTTTCTATTTTTAGTAGGGGTCTCGCTCTTGCTTAGGCTGGTCTCGAACCCCTGACCTTGAGCGATCCTCCTGCCTTGGCCTCCCAGAGTGCTAGGATTACAGGCGTGAGCCACCGCGCCCGGCCTGTTTTCTTCCTTCTTGACCTCAAATGCTGTCTACGAAGAAAATGTAACTGTTGTCTGTGAAATTACAGAGGGCAAGGAGAGTTTTTCGCTACTGTTGCAGGATAAAGGATCAGGTGAGATAGAGGCAGGTATGGAACGTAGAAGCTAAAGAGGTTTCCGGAGTTCCCAGGGCCGCAGGCTGGGTCTGTACGGTGACAAACCGCCGGAAGTTTTTACTAGGAAGGCTGATGTGATCCCAGCCCAGTCTTACCACCATGCTGGCTGGGGAGAAAGCCAAGTTCTTTAGTGGTTCCAAGACTTGGTTTTGTCCACACAGAAGGATGGCTGCAGTATGAACGGCCATTTCTGTCACTGCTCCTTCAAGGCCGTTGTCACCGGGGCTCGTCCTCAGCAATGGCAGGGTATTGTCCACAAGGGATGTTGCAAAACATTTGATAGCGGGAGAGAAGATCTCGCACTCTTCGATGAATTTGTTCACAGCTTCGCATTGCTAACAGGAAAAGAGTATTTTTAAGATATATCAAAGAAGTATACGTGAATTCAAAGGTTTGCTCTTAGGCACACATTTCTATAGCAAATACACATCAAATATCAAGGTAGATATGGATAAATTACCACCATTTGAGGGGAAATTCTTTACAGAAGAGAATTTGCATATATAAATACAGCAACCACATACCTAAGCATTAATTTTGATTTTTTATTTTGGTAAACATTATTTTATGTTCTTACGTATCTTTGTGTTATTTTTAATCGTAATTCTATAATCTTTGTGTTAAACAGAAAATAGTTCCTCTGCATAACAAAGTTGAAAACTCCACTCTAGATAAAAAATTCTGCGCGTTATCTGTGCTCATGACTTTTATTCTGTTCCCAAAGTCCCTCCAAATAGATAACAAGACTGTGAACACAAGGCCTGGATGTTGTTACTTACCTCCGGCTTAGGATGGAGGTTCGCGTTACTGGATCTGTATAAAACAGCCACCTCTCTGAAAAGTGCTAACAGTAAGTGGACTGCCTGTTGGGTTCTGGGTTTCCTGCAGGCCTGCAAAAGCAAGGACATCCGGCGAGAATGTAGAAGTTACACAGCTCTGTCTCGGGGCCCGAGGTCTGTGCAGGCTGCGTGTGAATATGGAATGTGCGTCAGCCTTCAACCACCGAGGGGCGGGGCAGCCCTTCCTAGAACCAGACACCCGGGACCATGCCGCCCGTGGCCATCTTCTGGTCAGCGACTCTCGGGCTACAGGGTTTGTAAAATATTCTCCGATTAAACGCAATGCATATTTATCAGACAGCTTATGACAGAAGTAACAGAAATCACCATCTATTCTTCTGACTACTTCACTGGTCTTGGAAATGTTCCCGTACAGAGATAGGATTTTCTGTTTCCTCTTTTCCTGGCACAATGCCAAGGTAAACAAGGACTCGAAAGGGGAGCAAGACCAGACCAATTCCAAGGTGAGATTCTAAACACACGCACAAGCATACGTATGGGTATACAGAGAGACGTGGATTTTGCTAGGTGTGTCGGCAGCTTTTGTAGCAGAGTAATCCTGGAGGACACGATTCTTCAACAGGATCTCAAAGGAGGTGGTGGACATAAAACAGAAAGGAGCTGATGGCCTTGGCAGCTCAGCAGGTCACGGCAAATCTGTCCAACTCAACCACTGCTGCTGCCTGTTCCAGCCACCGGCGCACTCACTGGCCAGGTGCGCCACAGAGGCCACGGGCACGTGACTCCTGATATGGTGTGTGGCTCGATCAGGCCACTGCAGTGGTCCACCACCCTGCATCACTTCACATAAACCAGGGACGACACAGGCCCTGAGGGATGCCATTTGGTACCAGAGAGAAGCTGTGGGCCCGTCCTACCTTCAGGGCAGTCACAATATCCAGGGGCTTGCACTCTAGGACAGCTTTGGCCGTGGCATCACGAAGAGCCTTGTACTCATCACCGTACACCAGGTATCGATCTATCTGGCCCGGGTAGTCCTCCTGCAGCACCAGGAAGACAGGGGTGAATCAGAGCGTGGACCGCAGGGGGAATGTTTTGCATAGAAGCCACTCAATAGGTAGAGGAGCCAGGGAATCGTTAGAGGTTCAAAGCGGCTGAGCTGGGACTCCCCAGTCCCGCCCAAGATGTGACAGTCCCGTGCTGTCTTTGGAAAGAATGTCCCCCTTGGTGGATGCAGGGGTGTGAGTGCACGAAGAGCCTGCAGAGGGCGCAGTCCCGACCTGGGCGCTGCTTCCTCCGCTCACAGAGCAGAACCAAAGGCAGGTGACTTAAATCAGGGCATCTAACCCCAGCTGGTAGTTAAAAAAAAAAAAAGTCAGGGTTTTTAGTATCATTTTTGAAACCCCAGGGCAACAGGATTTGTTCATTTCTGAGCACCTGGAAAGGACCCCTGAGAGCTAAACTTAATACAATTCTTCCATCCTTAGTTCTCACTCTTAACTGTTCCTGCCTGCCAGAGGCAAAAAGGATGTATCCTGCAAGCTGAATCCCTTTTCATTTGCAGAAAGCAAAGGCCACAGAAACATTCTTTCGCTTTCTGTGTGTTGAATTCGATTAGAAGAGACGTCTGAACAAGCTTTGCGGGCGGATGACCAACCAGAGACCTGCGTGTGCGCGCACACTTATCCCTGCCCTAGGCGGGTGGTCTAAGCATCCTCACAAGCTGGGTCACATTAGCTGGAGCAGAGACATAGGACCGGGCAGACACGTGTGTGCCCTTCTTGGCTCTGGAGAGGGTAAGGGCGGGTGGCACGCGGGAGTGCTGGGGGCGGGGGCGCGGACGGCACGCCTGCTCTCACCTGCTGTGTGATGACGTCCTTGGGGAAGACCCACTGGCACGGGTGGCCCGGCTTGGAGAGGCCCTGCACGAACTCCATGCCCCGCTGGCTGGCCAGCTTCCTCACCAGGTACACCTGGTACCAGTCGTTCTCCGCGCGGGTGCAGAAGTGCTCAACTTGCCGCAGATAGTGCCGCTTCTCCTCAGCCATCTCTGAGGGCCCAGGGAGAAGCGGGTGAGCAACGGGCGACCCACTGACTCAGGGTATTTATCACAGGACAGGAAGCTGGTCTGAGGGCACGGGGCCGCCTCTTTAGGAATCCACAGTAAGACGCACCCAGGAGAGAGAGGGGGCAGTGAGGACCAGCATTATCCTAAGAACCCGTTTCCCATTCTTCCGAAACTTCTAAATCACGGGTCTTTAAGCTCAAAGTAAAGAAGACTCGCCTGAGCCTCCCTGCAGCTCCGCGAGGAGGTCAGAAGCCCTGTCCAGGCAGAGGCGGATGCTGGCGATCTCCTGCAGGTATTCGACTGAAGCCTCGTGGGCAGCTTCCTGGCCACGTCTTTCCAGGGGGTACGTCTTAAGGAAGAGCCTTTGCTCTTGGAGGTTCTTCAGTTCATCGTTTCTGGAGCAAACACTGGTCTTCTCGTGTAATGAATCCTAAGGATCAAAGACAAGAAGAAAAGGATATAATTCTTTTTAATTTGCAAGTCCCCAACCTTCTGGAATTGCCACAGTGTGACTTTATGGAGAATAATGGGGGGATTAATAATATTGTTCTAAGTTTCAGTGTAAATCATGGATAACGAACATTCCTTTCTATCTTAGGGGCAAGAAGGAGGGGAAAAGCAAAACTATGAAAAAAGAATTTTATATCATCTAATTTCATTCATATACATTGTAAAAAATTTTGGATATTAAAATAGGAGGATAATAAAAAGTATTCATAGGTCACCATCTGGCATAAGCACTGTCGACTTTGGTGCTATGTTCTTCTAGGACATGAATGCCAATGTATACAACTGCTGAGGACAGGAGCAACGTCTTTGGAACCTGTTTTTCTGCATGGAACACATGCAGAACATGGAACACGTGCAGAACATGGAACACATGCAGAATATATGCAGAACACTTTATTTTTTTCTGCATAGCCTCTGTTAATTGTACGGACTAAAATTATAGTTTGTAAATTTTCGAAAACACTTTTTCATTGCATTAAGCCATGTGGTTCAGACAGTTTGCAGAAGAAATGCAGGGAGGTGACAGCGTACCTCCAGACAGCTGATAAAGAGTATGTACAGCTCAGTTTTATCTTCGGTTACGAGAGCTTTATTTTTTAACAGGGACAGGTAGTCCTCAATGTAATCTTTCACTTCATGGAAGCTGTGGAAACAGAAATATTCTTCATGGTTATTTCACATCTGGAGACCATTCTCACCCCCCAAAACAGGCACCTGTCCATCACCTACCCATCTGTCTCCCTCTGTATATGCGTCTATGTGTATAAACATATACATGCATATGTATGTATAGTTTATAACATGATTTTCTTGAACACAAGATTGAAAGAATATAAAATTCCATATTTTAGACCAGCTGTTCTCAAACTTTTTGGTTTCAGGACCCATTTAAAGTCTTAAAAATTACTGAGAACCTCAAAGAACTTTTCCTTATGTGAGTTATAGCTATCAATATTTATGATATTAGAAATTATTAGACATTAAAACATTTCAAAAATATCAGCTCATTTGAAATAGCAATAGTAAATCCATTACATGTTAAATAACATTTAAAATCATAAACTGTTTTTCAAAATTTGAAAATTAACTAGTGAGAAGAGTGGCTTTGTTTTACATCCCTGAAAATCTCTTTAATTCCTGGCTTAACAGAAGTCAGCTGACTTCTTATATCTGCTTCTGCTTCTGATCGGTTGCGCTATATTGCGTATATAAAGAAAATCTGGCCTCACACATTCTGTTGTTGGAAAAGGGAGAAATATCTTAATAATTTTTGCAGATAATTGTGGCTATTCTTCTTTGATACTATACCAAAACTTGACAAATCATCATTTCTACATTAGTTGTAATGTAGAATCAGAAACCGTACAGATGCACTTTTTATAGTCAATTACATTAAAATCCAGCAGTATCCCTTGCACTTTACATGGGTTATTTTTTCACACACGCATGATTTTGTGACAGTGGGCATTGGTCATTTGGAAAATATCGGTTCACTGAGCTATACAGATCTTGCAAATGTTGACATATCTATTCTATAATATATTTTAAAAACCCGTCCACATTCATTAATATCACCACATATTGCCTCAAAAAGCCCTTAAAGTATTAGAAAGCTAACAAGCTCATGGTGGAGAATACAAGTTTTCTAAAATTTTAATTTTTGCTTAAAATCTTGATCACCAGCAACAACACTATCGGTTGTTTTGCTGTGACAGGCTCACTCTGCTTGTTTCCAAGACAGTGCCTGCCAGCGGCCCAGGTCCGCATAACCACAGTCGTTGCTCATTCCGGCCAGCGCAGCAGACGGCATTCCGTGAAAAAGCAGCCAGTTCGCACGAGACTGCTGTGAGTGATTTTCTTTGAGATAGCCACTGCGCTTTGGTATGCAGCTAGAGTGTACTGTATGCACTTCCCATTTCCAGAAAATATTTGAAAAGTCTATCCTCCAGGGCTGAGATTCAGTAAAATTAATAAGTGAAACCAGCATTTAAAAAAAACTACATTTGCACGGTAGCAAGGAAAACAATGACGCTACTACGGGTTTCCTCACGCGAAGACGCCAGTCTTACCTGCTGCTGCTTTTGTACCATCATTGCCAATAGCAACATGTTGAAAAAGGCAAATTTGTCTTAGAATTGTTTTGAAAATGGTTTTGACCTCAGGGACCTGCCCCACACCCAAGGATCCACACCAACACTTTCAGAACTGTAATGCCAGATCAACACACGACCACAGATGACAATATTCTTACCTGTTGCCAACATCCTTTCTAACCAACGAAACATACTGATAGAGCCCACGTTCAGGGGAACATAAACGTAGAGCTCTGACACCTAAGACACTGAGGGTAAGAGAGATTCTAAGTTACCATCCTAAAAAATCACAAAACTGGGTGGCTGTGAACTAGGACTCCGAACTCGCAAGGTCTGCTTGCTTCACGACACCATGGTCCCCTCCCGGCATTCTGTTTTCTTCTTGCTCGATATGTGCTTGTGGATGTACTAAACTCACGTGCCTACGTGCGAAAATGTCGAAACACACAACCAAGACAGATAAGCCAGGTCAACTCTCACCGAAAAGCTTCCGAGATCATGAACTAGCTACTAGTCGTGAGAAGAACATGACAAAGAAAAAAAGAAGTCAAGACTTTCCAGAAGCACATCTCAGGTAAGGTAGTTGTTCTTACCTGTACTTCAAAAGCAGTTTCAGTACCACTGAGCGGATGACCGGAGTCTTATCGACAACATCATTAAACGGAGAGAGCGATTTTGTGTGTTCACAGTGTCCTTAAACCAGAAAGAGAAAGGTGGCTCACTGCATCTGACATATGGGTGTGAGATGAAGAACTGAATTTTTAGGGTTATAGGAAAAAAGCAACTTACCTTGGGGAGTGTCTCTTAAGAGTTCCTTTTGTACAAAGAGCAACGACAGCAGGCTGTCAACCACTTCCTTCTGAGGCGGGGTGTTGTCTTTGAAGCACATGGTGGAAACCAGGTCTACGAAGAAACTGTTGCACATCTGCCGGAACTGGGCATGTTGTTCAATGGCTTTCCTTAGAGACAGTTGAAAAACACAGTTTAAAAACTGGTGGAACGTGTTCCAAAATCCCTCCATACAGAATGATTTGAGATGTTGGACAGCATTTCATTTTGAAAGATTCAAGTCACTCCTTGCATTGCTTAGAGCTGGTCTTCAAAACTGCAATAAGCAGTATTTAGACTCATCTCCTTCTGGGAACACTTTCATCACTGGGCCAGCCAATACCCTCCAGTGTCGCAAAGTCTGTCAAAGATCCACCCGCCAGGCGTGCCCGGTGCTCCACGTTTAGGGCCACAGAAGGGAGGGGAGGAGAAGGAAAACCAAGCACTTCCAGAGCAGGGCCGAGGCCTGCTGAGCCCAGAGAGCTTCAGCTCCTTCTATTTTCCTCTGCAAAGCTAAACAAGAGCCAGTTTGTCCTCAGGTCAAAGAGCATAAATGATATTTACACAATGAAGAGGACGCACCAGTCGCATCTAAATTCCTTGAGCCTCTAGTGAGGGCTTTCTTTAATACTTTCTGATTTATTTCCTCTAAATTTGCTGTCTCCCAAATCTGTACATGTGTATATCCTGGGAGAGGATAATTTTGAGACAGCGGATGTTTACGAAGGTACATGAGTGGTGGTCTCTCTTATGACAGTCCCCTGAAGTCTGGTTTTCTACCAAATGAAGGTTAATAGACTTTATATTTTTGAATGCTGTATTTGCAAAAAAAAAAAAAAAAAAAGGAGGGGAAGGAAAAAGGGTGTTTCACCTGTGCTCCTGGGAAACGGTTAGAGAGAACGTGTCTGGCAAGGCAGTCAAACAGCGGCGGCACATCATCTGCCCGGGGACAAGCCAGGCTTTGATGCAGCGCAGGCAGTACACGTGGTCACAGGGCAGGCAGACGGGGTCCTGCGCGTCTCCCAGGCAGATGGGGCACGGCTGGATCTCACACCTAGAATCCAAGAAGGGGGTTTGGTCCTGAAGCAGAGAAGCTGGCCAGCACAAGCTGCACCACCAAAGGTTCAGAGGTCTCCTTCGTGGATCCCAAGCCCAAGGTCTCACCTGGCGAGGGTCTTGCTGGCTGTGTCCTTACATTCGCAGAGGGTTTTCATCACAGCCACAAAAGGCCTGTGGGTCTTGAGGTCAGAGTTCTCTTGAAGACACTGCAGGAAGGCAGCGATGAGAAGTCAGCAACAGTGGGGAGGGGCGGGGGTCAGCCTGCCAGGCGACAGAGGGGACAATGCAGCACCCACTGGGCCAGCTGGCTGGGCCGTGCAGAGTCGAGGCGGGGGGCGCAGCACAAGGCCTCTGGGTTCTCCGTTCACGGCTTCCTCAGCTCGGGACGCCCTTTCTGTGATTCTGCTGCTTTGCGGGAGAAGAACCACATTCCCCCTTTCTGATTTTCCCCCTTCTCTCTCTCTCTGTTAAGATCTATCTCCCTCTTGCTATTACGAGATATTTCAAACTTTAAATAATAAGAATGTAATTACCATCTGTGTACCCCCAACAAGCTGTAGGAAATCTCAGCATTTTTGGAATATTTGATGTAGATCACTTTTTAAAGAAACAAAACATAGGGCCGGGCGCGGTGGCTCACGCCTGTAATCCTAGCACTCTGGGAGGCCGAGGCGGGCGGATTGTTTGAGCTCAGGAGTTCGAGACCAGCCTGA